ATACAAGTTTTCAATATTTAAAAAATATGTATAATTTTTGCAACGATATTTACAATGAATCGGAAGAAATATGATTCATCCATTATTGTGTCATATTTTTCACAGGTGATAAAATATCTAACTTTTTCATAATTATTGACTTACATAGAGTATACGTGCGGGTATTCTCTAATTTGATTTCTTGACAATATATTCTTTTCTTGTGGGTTCATTTCATGCAGTGTATTATTATTATTCAACAGTTCCATTTCGTAAGATCGATTATAGAGAGACAACTCTAATTAATATCCGTAAAACATTCGAGTGTTATTAAATTGGACTTGCAGAAATGGAACTATAAGAAGATGGTTAACTTAGTGGGCCCATATTATCTTTGATAACCCATGACTTGAGTTATGACCTTTACCTAATAAACCCAAAATTTGTCGACCAAAAAAAAAAACCCCCAAAACTTGTAATTTGCTGAAAGTATATACTTTTGGTAGGTTTCGAAAAAGTTTTGGACCTTTTGGTTCATTTCGGGCTGGTTTTTGTTTTTTTTCTTCATTCTTTCCTTTTTGTTTTTGTATGAAATATTTCTTTCTTTTTTTACGTGGGTTAATTTTGTTAGGATGGAGTCTCGACTATGGAGTTCACGTCTCAAACAATGAAGAAGTGCTTTAATTATTATTGTTCGAGTGAGAATTGCATGTGGGTTTTTAATGACGGTTGAATTTGTTTACTGGTGCCGTGCCAACATTAATGAATATCATAAGCGGTTAAAAATAAAATGTCCCAGTTCAACAAAAACAAAAACTTTACAAAAATAAAAACTATTATCGTTTAGAAAAAAAAAACAAAGAAACAAAAATTGCAAATAGTATAATAGTTGTAAAACAATTTTTTCTCTTTTTCTCCACAAAATCGTTAACAAAAATTTTAAAATCAACTTTTCTAACCAAGGTTTTCAATATAATATTACAACTTATAACAAATATTTGCAACTTTAGAAAAAACTAAAATTTGGTAAAAAAAAATAAAAGTACATCAAAAATATAAAATAAAAACATGAGTAGTTTTACTTTAGTTATAAAACGATTTCGAAGGAGAAATGTTTTATCAGTGTAAACCATAACAATAAAAACAAAAAAAAAGCAGGAAATTTGTAATGAGAGACCATGCAAATCTTTTAGTTTATCCTAATTGTTTAATAACACTAATTAACGTTGGTTTCTATCTTTTTCTAAATTAATTAACATATTCGAAACCCATGTTTGGATTATAAGCCCATATTTTGTTTCTCTTTATTATCATATAGTATTCAACTATTCATCATTATAACTTGTAAACCCATATTTAATATTTAATTTTTTTTTGTTAGAAGTAAACTATATAAAATTAATAAATATATGCCCTTAATTATTTCTCCAAATTGGATGTCATAGGCCTAGGTATGACCAAAAGCTAACCGTAACCGTATTTCGGACCGTAAGCGGACCGTTTCTCAATCGTAACCGGACCGTAACCATATAAAACGGTTAAAAACCGTAACCGTTAACCGTCAAAACAGATTAGTTACGGTTAAAAAATATACTAACCGTAACCGTCAATTAACCGTAAACTTGTCAAAACCGTTAGTTAACCGTACGGTTAACCGCACGGTTAACCGCACTATTAACCGCATAGTTAAAACTTTAAAAATATGCTTGTAGCTGCGGATGATGCAAAAACAAATTTCGAATGTTCAAATAAAGATTTTCAAAAAAAGTAAATGATACCGCACATTAAAAAATCTACGTTAGGAAAAATGGTTTTTTTCTCAAACAAATATGTTCTAATGCTATATTGCTAAAAATAAAGAAAATTTGGTTTATAACATACTTTTTTATTCTATTCAAAGTAGTATAAAAAGTTAGGTAACTCGTAAAATTTTACCTTCGATATTAACCGTATCGTAATCATCAAATAACCGTAACCGTATTTAACCGTAACCGTTGTAACCGTAACCGTATTTAACTGTAACCGTTTTAACCGTATATATAATGGTTAAGGTTACGGTTAAAGAAAATTTATTACCGTAACTGGCGGTTAATCGACCGTAACCGTAATAACCGTAACCGTGGTCATGCTTATAGGCCAATGCTTTTTTTTTTTCTCATTGTGGCACGGGCCCGTGGAACCTTCATGTGTTTGGAATAACTAGAGAGGTTAGGGTCTGAGTTTAGTCCACTGGAGAGTGAACTTTTGCTCCGTTCGGTTGGGATCTTTCGCTTGGAGACAAGAATCTAATTGGGGCTTTTAAACTCATACATGCACTGATGCACTCAACAACACGGCCACAGTTTCCGGGAAGACATAATATGGTCTATTTTCTGAGAACTCTATGATGCTCAAGTCAATAAATACAACGTGAGTCGACAAAAAGTCGGTTTTCGGAAAGTGAGTGGAAGATAAATTTTGCATGTTATGATGACATGTTCTAGAGCTCTAGTCTCTAGATGCGTCAAACTTACAAGTGAAGAAGATCGACTAGTAGAAACCCGAAAAAACTAGTAACTTGGTATCGTAACCTACTAAAACTAATTTTTATAAGCAAGCATTGTACACTTCAACAAAACGAGCTGAGATAAAATCCAATTAATAGAATAATACTCTATAGAACTCTTTTAAAGTGCTTAAATACATGTATCTTAATTATAGCTTACTAGATCGACATCCGCGCTACGTTGCGGCGTATTTTTTTAAAAAGTTTTTTATTTGAACAATCAAAACCAAAGCAATATAATTACATCAAAAATAAAAGAAAAAAGATTTGAAAAAAAAACACACACCCTTCATCTAAAAAATGTATGTTTACCGTAAACAATATAATTACAATTCTATATACTTGTCTAAGAACTTGACGACATACCCTTCATCTTTGTTTTGCTATAAGAAATACAAACAAGGTTATCTACATAAATTCAGGATATAAGATAACATAAAAAAAACATGCAAGAATAAGAAAGTTTATTACTTTGACTTTACTGTTGAAATCAATCAGCTTGTCGACTACAAGAGACATCAATCTGTCTTGAGAAACTTATTAGATAAAGTTAACTAAACACAAGTTACGAAAATCCATGAAAATATAGAAATAAAAAAAGATGGACCATGCTTTGTTACATTAAGATTTTAAAATGAACTAGATTTTAACCCGCGGTACACCGCGGGATGATTTAATTTTAAAGTTAGTATAAAAATATTTTGTAAATTGTATCTGCTTATAACATATTTATTTATATTATAGTTTACAATTGTTATTAAGTAACGGTATACCACGAGTCCACGAGATAATTATTAATAAACTGAGGATTTAACCCGTATTAAAGCGGTATATAAATATTGATTCAAATTCGTCCGCCATATAAATCATTTCCGAAATATAACCCGTTTCGTAATTTCTTAACCCGTCCTGTGATTTGTATTAAAAAAAATAAAGATTAAATCCGTATTGAAGCGGCGGATTAATGATATTTTAATCTTTTTATTATTGTTGATTCAAAAACCCGTCCCGCCAAACCCATCCCGCCAAAAAACTCATTTATTTTATTAATGTTCTTATTTATGATATGATTCTGAATCATTGTCTAAATATTTTAATCGATGTAGAACGTTGAACACACATTTTCGTCAATTGGATAATATATGTCCGTTTTTAAAATTTCGAATCACAGTATATGCAGAAAAAAATTGATTTTTTTATTACTTTATGTATTATATGATGATTTAAAACAGTTAAAAACAAATCAAACAAAGATGATAGGAGAATCATAATTATAAATCTTAATCAAATCTTCAAAAAATCTAAATTATTAAATATAGAATATCCGGTGTATGAGTTGGGTTAAATATAACCCGACCCAACAAATTTTTTGTGAAGGAATTTTTAAAATGGGTCGGATATCCGATATACCCGAAAGCGTTTTTACCCACCCGTCACAAAAAGTACTGTGATTATACTAGTATAGATAGGCTAAATAATTCATAAACATTTGTTAATATAACTTGGTTCATGACTTAAAAGTTAGAATGTTCAATGATAAACAGTTACAGCATGACGATCATACGGTTCTTAACATTTAAGAGGAACCTTGGAATCCCATCTTTCTCCTTGTCTTTCTCTAAACTTATATTTACCATTAAGAGCAACATTATTGGTAGGCTCTTAAGAATGACTCTTAACAATAGTTTAGTATTAAAAAGGTAAAATTTAGAGTTAAGAGATTGTATTTTTGTTTTTAGTTTTTATGTGTTTTTAATGGTAGGCTCTTAACTTGTGGTTCTTAGAAAAACATTATTAATTTAAAAATGAAATTAAATTAACAATTTTAATTTTAGAAAACTTAATAATTGTTGCAAATTAAAATTTTTAAAACATACATGAAATTTAAGAAATAACTTTTTCAAAATAAAATTTGGTGTTTTGTGTTTTGAAGTTTTGAAAAGAAAGATAGAGAAGAGACAAGTGAAGTTTGGTGTTCAAGTCTTGATAAACACATTTTTCCTTAGTTAAAACACTTGACCAAATTTATGTGTTTTGGTTATTTAGAGACAAAGAAGATATGGATTCAAGACATTCACATAAGAAGATGCTTTGCATATACACAAACAAGTTTTGGTCTATATACTACAAAGTCTAGTTATGGCAATGGCAATATATGAAGCTGTTATATTAGCTGACAATTGTATAATTACTTAGAACCACCACAATTTGGCTAAAGAAACTCGCAGATTGCAAAATGCCAAGTATAATTCAGAACTCTATAGTCTTGCCAAGTACAAAAGTAACTAGAGAGAGCTCAATGAAGAATATTGTGTTTAACTGGGCCTTGTGGCCTAGTGGTAAAGGGGTCACAGCTGTGAATTCCGCCACCAGGGTTCGAGGCACGGCCACTGGCAGGTTTACATAGGGGAATTGCCAGCCTCGTGGGATTAGTCCTTGGGCCTAGGAAGCCTTTGGGAGACCCGCAGTTATTCAAAAAAAAAAAAAAAAAATATTGTGTTTATCAAATGCATGTCTACTGTCCACCCGAATATCATTATCCCGCCTGGATTCATCTGCAACATATCACCTAATTAGCTATCATCATTTCTGAGTTTGGCTGAAAAAGGTACAAGTAAAAAAGGGGAAACAATCCTCACCGAAAGCTTGTCTTTTTTGATACGAGGACATGGACATATAAGATAGAAAGTGGTTAATAGCAGGCATCCTCATGTAGTGATCCATTGATTCTATATCACTATCTGAACGGGAAATCGGAAAGGAGATGGGTGGATTCGTGGTGGCCTCCAAGTGAACTCCACTTGTCTACTCTTGAGCTTCTTTTTCAAATGAGCATGTAGTCTTGTAGATTGTCAATCTAAGAGGCATAGAAGAAGTTTTATCAAGTTGTTCAGCTAGGTTCTCCTTATCCTTGATTAATTCCCCATTAATTTCCTCTATCGCATCTCTTCTTCCATGTTCATTTTGGTTATTCATAGCTGCTCCAATGACAAAAGGCCTATACTGATTGTCATAGCTCTGGAGCAATGGCTCATCTCCAACTGCTACGTACCTGAAAATCAATTCAAGTGAGAAACAATTCTTTCTCTAATGATAAAGTTCACATTAAGAAGATTGGCATTGAAACAGATCTGACTGAGCAGTTTCTATATGTGAGTTTAAAAACACACACCAAAATTTTCATTGAAAACAATCAAATTGAGTATTTTCTCAATGTGAGTTTCAAAACATCAATGTTTGTGGAATTCTCTCTGAAAATCTAAATACAGTAGAGTAGAGTACAGGAGAATCAAGCATACATTCGTCTGAAACCAACCAAACATTGAACTGAATTATCATTTCCTGTCCATGGCTATGTTTTCTATAATGGCGTTTCAAAAACGCAAATTAAGTTGAATGATACTAACTTTCGACAAAATCTCTGAAGATACAAAGCAAGAAACAAGAAACTGGTCTAAAAAGGGAAACTTCTAGCGCGAGAATCCAAAATCTAGATAATTATACCTAGAAAAATGAAAGAGAAGGAGAAGAAGATATTCGATTCGAACTCTGTTTCCTGATTCGGATTAGAATCAACCTCTGCGAATCCAATACCCATGGATTCATGAACAATCGCCTGATTACTCGCCGTGGGATTGATCCGGCGCCAGAGATCATGGAGAGTGTCTGTATCGGTCAATTCAAGTTTTAGGGTTTCTCTCGTCTCGTCCGCTTAGTTCCGGCGGAACAACGGCCGGAGGTGATAATATCGGAGAGTCCCTCGATTGGATTCGATTTCGACGCTTTAGCCACGTGCAACGTTTCTTAGCTAATTAAGGAACCTTTATTGCTGCATTAACTATTTAATTTAAATCAATTAAATATCTAAGATTCAGCTAACATCCCCGTCAATGATGCTCTAATGTTCTTGCAATAGAGTAGATCAAATGTTTGAGCCGGCCTGAGATCACCTTCAGTCAAAACATAAATCACAAATACAAAGTTTATTCTCAACTTTTTTGCTATGCTAAATTATATACTCTTATAAAATAGATCACTAATAATAACCAATTAGTGAATAACATATGTGACGTTTTCGCCAAATTTACAAACAACAAAAAGAGCATAAATCCAAGATAAGTCATAATGCAATTGCAAACTTTTCTTGGCTAATGGTAACAAAATTATTAAAAAAAACAAAAGGCATATTAAATATTTTTACTATTATTTCAAATCATGCTTGTGTAGCAAAAATAATTTTAACATAAATAAGGTTTTGGAAGTATAATAATTGCTGGAAAATATTTACATATATCACAATATAAAAACATATCTAACATTCGTAAAAAATATACAAAAACATAAAATAACAACAAACAAATACAAAAATTTAACTATACGGTACATTTCTTTTGTAAAAGTAAGATAGACAATTATTTATTCATGTATGCATATATAAAATAATAAAATAAAAACAATTAAAATACGAGCAAAGGTAAAATGAAAAATCCAAAGAACCTTTTGAATTCTTACTATAAATACATATATTAAAAAAAAAATTAGGGGCTTTTGCAAAAATGCCACTTTTTCAATGCCACTTTTCAAAAATACCCCTTTTTTAAAACATTATAAAAAATACTCTTAAAAATATAAGATTTACCCAAATATGTATGTAATATTATTAAAACATACACAAACTACATTTCTATGTATCTAAAATCTTATAAATACTTTATAAATACCTTATAAATGCATTTTAAATACCTTTAAAAACCTTTAAAATATCTTGTAAAACCTTTGAAAAACCTTAAAAATCCTTTAAAATAACTTGTAAAACCTTTAAAAACACCTTATAAAACCTTATTAATACTTGGATCGAGTCTTCAAGTAGTAGTTACAATCCATAAGTACCTTATAAACCTAATAAAACTTTATAAAAATTTCAGATTTAAAAAAGGGCATTTTTGAAAATAGACATCTAAAAGGGGCATTTTTGAAAAGGGGCACACCAAAGGGGTATTTTTTAACAATTTCCAAAATTATCCACGGCGTAAACTATTTGTTAAATTCACCTCATGTATGTTGTTCTCTAAAAACCAATTGATGTCAAACATATTTTTCAAAAATAATGATGATATTTTTTTTTTTTTTGTAAATATTGAATTATTAAAATAATTAGAAATTTATTTATCATTATCAAAAAATTTAAAATCATTGTATCTATTATTTGTTTTAATTTGATTGGTTGTCTTTTCTAAATGATGTGTTATTAATAATAATAATAATAAAAGCTGATGTGACATGCTGGGAAGCTGATGTGTATTAATCGAAATGTTTTCATTGGATAATGATTTTAATGAGGTGTCAAGCTGAGAATATCTCAAAATTGCTGAGGTGTCAGGTCTGGAGAGATTCTTAGTGGTATTATTGTATTGATTCGGATGTTTCCCAATTTGATAGTACATACGTGTATAAATTAGGGTCAAAAATAGTATTAACAATAGCTATTTCCTAAATCAAAATTTTATAGGGACAATTATTAAAATATACCAAAAATTATAGTAAAATTAAAAATATATACCAAATCTTTTAGAATTAAAAAACTAAAAACTAGTTTTTTTTCAATGAAAAGTCAAGAAACTCCTTGTTAAATTTGAAGAAGTGTTTTTTTTTTTTTAATTCAACTACAATAATAAAAACTGGGAGTTTTTTTTTTTAACTCTCTATCATCGTCAAAACGCAAATAAAAAAAATAAAAATAACAAAGAAAGTAAAATTCCTCGATCATCGTCATAAACTGTTTTTGCTATCTCTCTCTCACATTTTACTCTCTCTAGCAATCTTCATAATCCCCCTTAAATCTCAGTTCCTTTCATGAACCCTAACTTTCGCCATTCACTTTCTCATCCCAAAAATTGTAAATGGTATATGCACTTAAATATGAGAGATGGCTCAGCATCTACCATTTAACCAGCCCCGGCTCAATATATTTGGGAGCCTTGGGGCAAATTTTTTTTTTTTTGGCCTATTATTATATATAAAGAGAAAATTTACTTAATTTTAAAAAATTTTGCGGCTTTTTTTGTAGTAAAAATTGTTATTTTAAAAATTTTGGACCTTTTTATACATTTTCTTATAAATAATTAGGCCTCTTGAAATATAATTATCATATTAATAATATTTTTAAAAAATATTTGGACCTTTTTTATATGTAAATTTTTTTTCAAAAAAAAGCCCCGGGCCGTCGCACCTCCGGCATACCCATCTAAGCCGGGGCTGCATTTAAGACATCTCTCGTGTTCTTCATTGGCCTCTTAACAAACCCCACACATCATTTGCATTTTTAAGGTTCTGTTTTATTAATACTATGATCTTATTTTAATGTTCTTACTATAACGTAGTCCACTACTCCATTCCTTATAAGTAATACAAATAAAAAGCAAAACAAAAATCCAAGAATTTTTTTAGAAGTCGTGAATTCTCTAGCCTTCTTCTACTTGACAATATCTTATCTCTCTGAATTCAACGATATCACACATTATATCTGTTGGGGTCGGATTCCATCCATCTTCTAGGACCGAGCCAAACTTCAAGCATCCAGAATAAACCTGTTCACTAGCTCGGAGCGCCCTCCTAGACAGCTCGGGATAAACCCTTTAATAGGCTCGGGTACCATACTGACCAGACTGGGTACCATTTCTGCCGGCTCGGATATCTTGCCTTCCGGCTCGGACACCCTGCCGACCAGATCAGGATCTCGCTGACTGGCTCGGATACCCGAACCGATCAAGCGGACGCCCGAGCCCTTCGACGACCGAGCAGATCTAGGAGACGCCCGAGCCCGCTTGGCGACCGAGCCCGATCAGACGTACCCGAACTCGGTCGGCATCGGAAAGTCCGAGCCCATTCTTGGTTCGGGTACCCGAGCCAATTTTCCTCCGGGTATCCGAGCCCTCTAAAAACTTCGGTTCGGGTGATGTGTCACGCTGCTTTCCCGAAGCTGAATATACCAAGAAGCTTCCAGATTACCCGAGGCGAAGTCATCAGTTGCATGAAGCAAGGACTTAGTAAATTTATATGAAAACTTATATTTAACTGTATTGAAATACTTTATTAAACAAATATACTTAAGATCTAAATAATAACTGGGTAATGAGACAAACAACTCTACGTAATGAGAAACTATCAAACAACTCTACCAAACAACTCTCAACAACTCAAATATACATGAAACTAATGAGAAATTACTAAGAATTTGAGAAAAAAAAAAGAACGAGAAAACTAAAAATTTTCTCATTCCTACGAGACAACTTTTCTCATTACTACGAGACAACTTTTCTCATAAACTTTACCCAATAATTCTACCAAACTAGATCTACGTAACAGTTTGCAAAAACAGTTTTTCAAAAAACTTTACCAAACAAATATATATTAAACTCTACATAATAATTGTGCAAAACTATCTATATTATACTCTACTAAATAACTTTCAAAGAACTTTAGCAAAGACTGCATCTTTAAATAACTTTGCAAGAGATTTATGTACATAAACGTTCTAAAGTATATGAAACTTTGCCAAATACTGACTTTTCTGTAGAGTTGACAAATCGTTTTTTTAATGGAGTTTGGTTTGATAAACACTTATATATACGTGGTGTTCAAAAAAAAAAAAAAACATGTATATATACGTAACTAACAACATAGTTCACATAGGTTTAGGGAATTAATTTAGAGTTATATTATTAAAAAAAATTCTAGATTAGTTTGGCATATTTTTCAGATTTTATCTTCAAATTTTATCATAACCAATAAAAAAATAAAAATTCAAAAAAAATCTGTAACTAACGTGGGTTATATAGAATTATAAATGTGGCTTTAATTTGTTTTTATGTTAAATCATATAATTAGATAAATATAAGGATACTTTTGTCGTTTGTTAGTCTACTTCTTAAATTCTAAAAGATATGGTCTAGATTAATAATTTTGGTTTGTTTTTATATTTTTTCATAATTTTCCCAATTTTATATGTAGTTCTTTTATGATATTTCATCCAATATGCACTCATTAAATTTACTAATCTGTCAGAGTCTGGATCGATTCTTAAGTTTTTCAAGTGATTTTGAATTTGACAAAGCCAAGTAACTAACGAAAAAGAAAATACTTATCTAAAATAAAAGGTAGTTTTATATAGAAGAAATTATTTAGAACTTAGAAGACACGAAGGGTCAAAAATAATGACCTAATGGAGAGACTACAGTAGAACAAATAGACACGTAAGTGATCCAAATCCAATTTGTTTCGTCCTCCACAAAACTCCAACCTATTCACATGTTCGAACACATGAACACGACAACTACTCTTTGCAGATTTCTTTTTTTCAATAAAAAAAATCATTATTGATGGAAAATATAATATACGGCATCTAGATTTCTCCTAGGATTTGAAGAAAGTGTACGCGTACAGAATAAATTATAAGTCAATACAAGTCTCCTTGGTTCCTCTTTCTTTCATGTTTCTTAGAAAGATTATGTTACATAAACAAAAAAAAAAAAAAAAAAAAGATTATGTTACCTTGTAATGAGTTAGACTTGAGAAAGATGAGACGATGTTGCATTGATAAATTGACAGAGATCATGTCCATAAAAGAAGGAGACTTGAATGAAAACTTCATATAATGTATAGACATATAGTTTGAAAGTTGAAACTGTCAATCTACCGAATTTAGATGATGAGACTGTGTTGGACTAACAATTGTTGCAATTAGCAATCGAACCAGAAACACCATTTGCATTGAGGTATGTGTTTTTCGGTTCACGGTGGGAACAAAACGGAACACGTCATGGTGAAACACCAATTTCGGCAGCTAAGCTCACGGTTATCACCGATAAAAATGTTCGAAATCGTTTAGGCACAATCCAAACCAACGACTCTTCAAATTATGATGGAGGTCTCGGCTACGTTTCAAATATGTAGTAATTAGCTCTATTTTCAAATCGTAAAATCTAGCTTAAAATTTTTAATATTCTCAACTCTCTAAAATGCATTTATTGTAAAACAGTTTTTTTGGTTAATAGAATTTTCTATTTATAGAAAACAATTACCAAAAACAAATACAAAAGTGAAAGAAAAAAAAGGCATTCATTCATCCATAAACAAATACTAAAATTTAGCATAAAAATAACGTCTCACTTCTACTTTTGTTGTTACGTTCTTTTTTTTATTTTTTTAAATAGATAAAAACAATCCATAACAAATTTCTATTATGTGAAGTAAGGCGATTTAGTAGATTCTAATTCTAATAAAAAAATATAAAGTTAAACAAACTTAATCATTTGACTAAAATACTTTCCCTGTACTTTACTTATTGTGTTCTTCATGGTATTATTGGTATAGAGATGTTTTAATGATAACTAAACTTTTCCAAAAATTAATAAAGAAAGAAAAAGAAAAGTTGAAAAAGAAGACCACTTGTGGTCAAATAAACAATGGTCAAAGACGACAACTTTGGTCCCCAAATCCTTTGACCAAATTCACATGTCCCATCTCCTTTACCATTCTTTTCAACTCTACCCCCAAACTTTTCCTTTTTTTAAAATTAAATAACATAAAAATTAACAAAATAAACCCTTCAAATTGCAAGTAACCATTCAAGTAACATAAATATATCACAATTTATAAAATTAAAAAAAAATCCAAAAAACTAACAAATCGCAAATTCTAAATTTGATTTCATTCGCAAAAGCTTTTTGATTACATGATTTCATCATAGTTTCTATCGATTTATAGAAAAAAAAGTACTTGACTAATATCTATTTTATATAAAAAGTTTTCTTTTCAAGACGATTCCAAAATAAGATCAGCAACGGCGGCTCCGGCAAGATCAGCGGCGGAGAGAGAATGATTATGATCTCCTTCATAAGTAACAATCAACATCGTCGAATCATCAGCTGCTCTCTCAACATGTTTACGAGCTGGACAACCTCTTACGCTACTACACTTATAATATCCTCTGTTTTTTCAAAATCAAGAAACAGAGCAAATACAAACAGATCAAGTTTCGATTTTTATCAAAATTCTGTAATAAAGAATTGAATTTTTAGTTTTACCTTGGATGTGGAGATCCTTTAATTGGTTTTTGTCCGTATTTTCTCCATGAGTAATCGTCCGGTGGTACATCGGACATTTTAGCACTTATCGCCGGAACCCTAATTATTCTCCTCTGTTTAATCTTTCTGAAAAACAGAGCAAACAAAAACAAAAACAATTTTTAGATACAAAATCTACGAGCTTTTATTGTTGGGTCGAATCTAATAAAAATTTAACCTTTTCTTGGAGCAATGACAACGACCGGAGGAAGAAGCAGAAGCGCATTTTCCGGTGAGAAGATTCTCGGAGTTACATTTTCTCTTTGTTGATTTTGAGAAAGAAGAAACCGTCGTGGAGAGGCTTTGAGTTTGACTCCCAAACGGCGCCGTTTCAGAAGGACGATGAATCTTCTTGTGGTGGTCTGATTCCGTTGTTACAGAGGAGAGAGATGAGAAATCAATCGTTTTCATCGATGAAGAAAACGAACCTTTTCGAATCATTTGCGGCGGAGGAGGAGGGAGAGGAGATTGAAACGGTGTCGGTTTTGGTTCTTCTTGATTATTAATAACCGGAGAAATAACCGGAGCACGTCTAAACCGGGCGTGTCCGGTTCGAGTTCGATCTAGAAGAGATATGACTCTTTTAAACTTTGAAACCGCCGCGTCCGCCGTCGTGTTACGAGCTGATTCAAGATCTTCGGCGGTGGTGGTGGCGGCGGAGGCGGAAGAAGAAGAGGGTTGATCAGAGTTAAAGCTATCACGAGACATTAAACCGATGAAGTTTTCGATACTTTTAAGTCCTGAAGCTGCTGCTTCTTGAACGGCGAAGCTATCAGTTCCGACGCCGGAGATGTAATTCCGAGTCATGAGCTCCACCGCCATAAAGAAGAAGAGAGAGAGTTGAGGACTTTTGGGGTTTGAGAGGACTAAGTAAATAAGAGAGAAAAAAAAATGAATAAAAATTTGGTATTTAAAGTGATGTATTTCACTATCTTGTATTGGTAGGTGACTGACTAATGTGTCACGGTTTAGACTTTTCCTATGTTCATAAATAGAAGAGTCTTCTTTACTATTCAATTTTTTGTTGTTAAAAGAGTCAAAATTTCCTTTTCTCTTTGCTAGATTCAAAAAGTCAAAAAGTTTGTACAAAATTAGAGGATTCAACCATCACATGTGTTTGTTACAACAGTAGCGATAAATAAGTCTTGATCATCACTATTTTAAAACGTTTTACGACTATTTCTAGAGGTATCGATGCATGTACAGGTTCTTTACTTAACAATTGGGCATCAACAAAACATATGAAAATGATTTAACCAAGAAAGATGTCATCTAGATGTTTGGATAGATTGCGATAAAAAATAAAATGGATTTGCAACCAATATTGTTTGGATAGATTGCGATGGAAAAATGGATTTGTAACCAATATTATATTTAAGAGTTTATGAACGTTTTGAAGCAAAAAAATGATAGCCAAAGTAAGATGATCTTATCAGATTGAAGATGAACACAAACAAAAATAATAATATTTCTTGTGTTTCTAATATATTAATGTTTTATATTTTTATCTTGTTCTTAAGAAATTGATTTTTTAAATATGAAAACTGAAAATAATTATCCCATTTTATATTTTCTTGCCGCATTTATTCTCCCTTCACTCATAAATCATCTTAGATTAACTAATAATTAAAAATTTATTATTAATTTTTTTTACAGAAAATAGTATTTCTTAATATGTATGAAAAATTAAACCATTAATCTATTAGAAACATAGGGAATATATTGATTATATGTTATCTTGTAAAGTTTAATATCGTTTTTACGACATGAATCTTTTTCGAATTTGAAAACAAAAACTTAAAAAAATTTCAAAATTTATTTTTAAAACCAAATGAGATATTACCATTTGGTATATAGTGTAGTAATTTGTATTAGGATATTAATTATCAATTTTCTCTTTTAATTAATCCATTACTCATATTTTACTTCACTACAAAGAGAAAGAGAAGTCAAAGTTTTATGCTAAAGAAGATGAACAAACGGCTAAATCCACTAACTCTAATTTTTTTTTCTTTTTGTCGTCGACAATATTTTAATCTAAACTTGATAAAAATAAATGTCGTTAGTAAAAGAAAGTTAATGAAAAAGAAAATGTTAAATTAAATAGTTTTTTATGGAGAGACAAATAAAGATAAGTGTGATGATAACTTGATAAGAGTCATAACTTTCGTCGTCAGCCGTATGACCTGGTTTCAAAGTAGGACCCACCAAACTTTAACTTAATCGCAGAAGTTTTTTTGTCTTCGCCAGCTTGGTGGAGTTGACTTTTCGTCAACATCTTTTTGTTATTTTATTCACTAATTTTTGGTGTTTACGTCTATTTTTATGGCTTCTTGTTCACTAATGATGCTTTAGGTTAGTTGTTGTAGAAAACACTTAACCCATAAACACTTTATTAAATTGTTTCATTAAGTGAAGTCTAATACACTATCTATGGTCTATGGATGATATCATATTAGAGTAATTTCTTACTATTAGACTTTTCATTTTCTACACACTAATAGCTCAAACATATTTTGTTATTGTAAAATTTAGATTTAGACCTCACATTAGTTTCATACACTAATAGGTATATTTTCTTTTTGGATTTGGAGTATTGGTGGCAGTTATATACATTCCCTATCATACATTTTATTAATGTTTTAAGATTTTAACATACATATTATAAAATTTCATTTACTTTTTTTTTTTCGTTTTAAAAATAAAACATTATTGATTATCTACCTAAACATTATTCAACCAACGAAAACATAAATTGTACTATTATAAAAGGACTTATAAAACAGATATAGTTAATTAATTTTACACTGAAAATATAAAACATCACTTAAAAGAAAATAATTTTTACAATGTTTTTGGGTTGTTTACTACATCATCACTAGGATTTATTCTTTAATTTTTTGCTTATATTAAAAAAAAATATCTTAGCATTCACGGCGATCAAATCTTCTTTCTTTCTCTTTTTAATTACAAACGATTCTAGAACAAATAATACCCACATTACAATGATTTACAGTAAATAATCAATGAATATCTTTATCTTTGGTATATGGAACAATGACATACAATTTTACACGATAAAGTTTCTATATTAATATGCGCTAATTCGTATTCTGTAGAAACCTAATTCTAGATTTAGTGTAGAAGGTTGGAAAAAGAAAACATTAGTGTGGAAATATTCAACCTTTAGTTAACCAGATCACGACCAGACATTCACACGGTAAGATTCATAGATGACTAGATGTAAATGTAACCAATTAATCTTCTTTTTTGTTTTTTTTGTTAATTGTAACCAATTGATAAAAAAAAAAACAAGAAAAAAAAGAGAGAGTTGAGAAAGAAGAAAAACAAAGTACACACAAAACTTGACTGAAGAGACACTCAAAGTCAAAGACGGAAAGCTGACGAAACCCTTTATTCCTCCCAGTAACGTGTTTCTTTTGCACTATCACCGAAAGTTCCTTCACTATACATAAACATTTCCTCTTCATTATTTGATCATAGATTATTCGTAAAACATAGTTTTAGTTGATGATAATTTAATGAACATATTACATTATATAATTAAACTGTTGCATTCCATCACCAAAATCGTGTTTTATATGTATTCGGATTCGTATAAAAATGAGGATGTGTAGTTTTCAGGCTTTGAATGAAATATACCTAGGGAGAGGCATTTAGTATGCGTATTATTGTGAACGCATTTAAAGTTCCCATTTTACAACCTTTGATAAAAACGATTTCTAAAAGATGAGATCTAAATTCGACAAAGACATGGAGAAATAACATATGCGTGTGTATTTGTTAGTCATTCATTTGGGTGCATTCAAGTGTGTGATTATTATTGTTATTGAAAATATTTGAAATATATACATATTTGTGTTTTTATTTTTCTCAATTTTATTCTAAAATGTATTTGGATAATTAATTACTGATAGAAAACTCGGCCCAAAATTTATGTTTTTGTAAAAGAAAAAATACATGACCAAGCAAGAAAACTAGCTTAGTGGACATAACTCAATGGCCCATATCTTTGACCCAACATTATAAGAGTTCGGATTATATTCTACTAATCAAATGAGCTTCCATTAACTCCTACTTTGAATATTCATAGACTAAAATCTTTCACTGTGACGGATTATTGCTATGCATCATAGAGGACAACTTTAGTATGGAATCCATATTTAGGACAAACGAGGAGGATCGAACTCAGTAATGATTCCGACAAGGAATATATTGACAAGAAAGGTGATAGGTAGGCTCTCAGTTACGACAATTGCAACAACCGTAACCAAAAGCATACCTATCACCTTCCCTGTCGGAATCTTAAGGGTGAGTTGGATCTTCCTTGTTTGTCCCAAATATAGATTTCCATACCACAAGACTCTAGTTGTCCTCTATAACGCATAGCAATAAGCCCTGTCACAGCGAAAGATTTTATCTACCTCGATGTGGAGATTCAATCTTAAGGAAGAGATGTTGTAATTGATAACATTAAACCTAAAACTGCTTCTTTGCTGCTTCAGCAATAATCTGCTCTTTATATATTATACGCAATAGGGTTTTTAGTATTTATTAAATAGACAAATATGGTTAGTTACGATTTAAGAATATTCTCAACGAAACCTTTTCAAATTTCATATTAAATATTTAAAGAAAAAGGAAATGATTGATAGACTAGGATATCTACTTGGTCAATTCCGTATCTTATATTGTGTATTTTAGAGTATCCTAATTTATTGTTACAAATTTTTGTAAATCAGACTCAGTGATTACAAAAGTGGGCCGTTAAATTGACCAAAACTGGATTATAGTAAAACCTCTGTAATAAATAATATTGGAATCAATGTATTTAACAAAATTTTATTAATCTATCGTGATTATTAATTTATAGAGGTGATATTAAGGCGAAAATACTAATTTAACGAGGTATTAATTTATCGAATATTAATTTATAGAGATTCATTGTACTTCTTAGTTATCAATTTCCATGTTCTTTCAAAACTAGGACACAATCCATGAACATCGATAGAACCGGACAGCAATTAGTCTTTAGTTTCCACCATGATGATTACAAAAGGGTCAAGTATGAAACATTATTGTCACTGAAAAAAGGATGTAACAAATAAGATACATTGTGTTCAGGTGAAACCAGTAAAATAGTCAGGATGATAAAAGAGCAAAATCTGTCTATCTCTACTTCATCCCTAACAGAGATATAGGCGATCAAAAGAAAACAAAAGACCGACCTTTAAAATGCTACTTCTCTCAAAAGACTTACAGTTGCTGACCTGAACAGTTTGATTGATCATTCACTGCTCTCTGTTGGAGCCGGTTTCTTTCCATACTGCTGCAAGAAAAAAACAAACCGATGATGAAGTTAGAAAACTATGACTCAATTTTTTCAGAGGCGAGAGCTCGGTTCTCTGAAGGAGAAGAAGAAAAGCACACACCTTTTTCCCGAAAGAGAAAGGAACATATCTGTATTTGATCATATGTTGTATCTGTTTCCTCATCGTGAGGAAAAACAACATCACCCAGTAGAAAAGAAGTATTGGCCAGAAAACAGGTACATCAAACACGTCGAAGAACGTCATCATAAAACCGATGATGAATGCCCTTATGATCGATAACCTTCATGGAAAAACACACACAACATTCCACATCAAACATGCAAATTACATCTTTATGCAACCTTCAACAAACAACAACATCTAAGACGAATCTAATCAATACTTCAATCATATTCATACACAGGCTTCACTAAAATTTGGTTCTAAATCTTACTGCAAATGTAGTTTCTCTGCAGTATTGAATCTATCTAGCTATATCAAAGTCTACAATAGTTGAATTCCTCAACAAGTAAGTCATCAAACTTCATCATCCTCTCAAGACTAAATCAAACCAATAACGCTATGCCCAATTTCGCTACCAAAACCCTAGATCAGATCTAACAATACCATTATACATAATCAAAGAGACGAACCAGAATTTGAACTCAGGGAGACGGCGAACAAAAGGACGATACTCATCGGATCTCCGAGTAGGAAGAGAACCACCGGTAGTGAGAGAAGCTTCAGGATCTTCTTGAGGAGAAAGAAAAGCAATGATGAGATTCAAAAGGTAGATTCCGATGGCGTAAGTGATGATGTAGAAGCCTTCCACAAAGTAAACACGAACGAAGTAGATCAATACGACACAGAGGCAAGCGATCCACCGATAGAGAACGTGAGGCACCGTTTTGTCGAGAAGGTGTTGTTGTCGCTGCGAAACGGCGTGGATCAATCGGTTGACGGCGTCGGCGGGAGATGATGAGTCGATCGATTGGGGATTATTATCGGTGGTGGTGGTGGCGGCGGCTACCGGAGTGGGAACACCAGCCGTGGCTGCGGATTCCATCGGTGGATACTCTCTATGTCTCTCTCTCTCTCTGCCTCGGAAAATGCGACGGAGGAGACGGAGAATCGTAGATTTGGATTTGGGAATTTTTGGGGGATCAGATCATATCCGGTTTATCTATTTATTTCGCAAACCGGTTGAAATTATTATCAGTATTACGATTTATCGGTTTAATGGTTCAGAAATTGTATTCAGTAAAATTTAACATAAATATAATTAGTTGAAAACAAAATTCAACCGATAAATTATAAAAATAAATGAAAAATTTTAAAAGTCAAAACTTAAAAGTATCAAATACATTGAAAGTTTGTATAAAAATTTGTAAAACATCTTCTAACATGGAACAAAAAAACAAACTTCTTAAACCTATTATAAAATGGAATTTTTTTTTTGTTCTACTTTAATTCACCAAAATCTTTAATCCATAACTATGCATCATTGTCTCTTCTCTTACCACCGATCTACCACATTAATTCTTACAAATGATATAGGATGGAAATCATGTAGACAATAGTTTGAGTAGAACACAATAGCTTTGAAGATTTAAGTATATGGGAGCCAACTCCAACACAAACCACACTTTAACTAAATTAAACAACAAAACGAACCGAGCTAACTTGGTTAGAGTTCTGTTAAAATTATACTAAAACCAACCAAAAACAATAAACCTTCAATGCCCAATCCTAATATCCTAAAAATCATATAAAAGAAAACCAAGTGGACAAACAACAAGAAAGAACAATTTGCTTCATGTGTATATACTTCGGCCTCAGAGAGAGGCTTAGAGAGTTAGTATAAGATCGAACATTAATAGTGTCCGTAATGGTACGATGGAGACTTAGCAGACGAGCTAATAGGGAATCTTTCAAACACTACTAACGCCTCTTTCATGGTCGGTCTCTTTTGTGGAACTTGAGATGCACAACTGTATCCCAACTTGAAAAGACCAAGTAAAAAGTCCTCTTTGCCTTCCAATTCAGAGCGAATCGCTACGTCAGCCATTATCAGCGCCCGGTTCCCGTCTTCTACCGTCAGCCCATTTCCTACCCCGACCTCGTCTATCGACACAATTTTTCCTGTGAGCAGCTCAAGGAGGATCACTCCAAACCCGAACACATCCCATTTGGGGTTCGGTTTGAGATTGCGGAGCGACTCGGGTGCGCAATATGGAGATATAGGCCCAACGGAGCTTGGACTTGGGCTCGGTGTGGGCCCGATCGATCCAAATTCACGCGAGGACGCTGTCAATCGCTTGCTACTGAAAATCCGAGATGATCCACTAGCTCGGTTATAGCTAGTATCTCCGGCAAGAAGCCTTTCGAGCCCAAAATCGCCGATCTTGGGCTCCATATCTTGGCCCAAAAGTATGTTACTAGGTTTCAAGTTACCGTGCACATGTTTCTTGTCGTGGAGGTAAGCAAGCCCACGAGCCAAACCTTTCGCTATCTTGAGCCGAGTGTCCCATGGTAAATGGCACGGCGACGACCCTCCTTTCCCTGTCCAGTCGCGCAAACAAATTCAGCTAATATGACCAAGATAGTACAAATAATCAAAGTTTGACCAGGCGTTGACTTTATCAGTAATGCTATAACTATAACTACCACCAACTAATATTCACACGTTAGCAAAATCCTGGAAAATAATGCTAGCATGCGCCTTGATCTTATGCTAACATGAGCCTTTATCATAAAGCGAGAGAAATGTGAAAGAGATGATGTTGACTCACTGTAACGGGCGTTGACGAGACTGCCGTTAGGGACAAAATCGTAAATGACCAATTTCTCGTCGGTGCCCCAATAGAAACCACGAAGACGAACCAAATTCGGGTGAACCAGTTTACCAATAGCTCGAATATGTGCCTCAAAGTCTTTAAACCGGCGTTGTTGACTCAAACCGTTCTCACCTAACCGACGAACCGCAAGAACCGTACCGTCCTCAAGAACCGTCTTGTACATTATACTCGAACCGGTGGCTCCCAAAATGTAAGCAGAAGCTTTAAGCAAAGTTTCAACTTCAAGCTCTTTCTCTCCTCCATCAATGGTTACTAAAGTCCCTTTCTTGTTCTCTCCAATCTCTCCTGATCGTTGATTTTCGTCGTCTTCTTCTTCGGTTTCATCGGTTTCTTGATTTTTACGGAGACATGACCATTTTCCGAATCTACTTGATTGTTCTGGTGATGAAGATGATGTAGTTGTTGATGATGATGGTGATAACGAAGTTGTGTCTTTAGCTTCGTGAGCTTCTAGACTTTGATCGTTCTTCTTCTCCACGGTTTTGTTCTTCTTGTATTTGTAAACGTAGAGGAAGATAAGAGCGAGGATTCCGATTCCGGCGATATCTCCGACTATGATTCCTATTATAACTCCTGGTCTTAACCCGGTTCGAGGATTTGAGTTGTTGTCCGGTTTGGTTTCTGAATTTGACCCGATTGATTTCGGTATAGCTGCGAGTGCAGGCGTAGACGTAGGTGGAGCGACGGCGCCGGAGACGGTGGCTGGAGAGGAAGGAATGGGACACGGGTTTCGGGTCGGACCATCGCATAAACCCGGGTTTCCGGAAAACGAAATTGATTTCTGGTTAAGGTAAACCGGAGAATCTGGGATTGAACCGGTTAAATTGTTGAAGGAGAAATCAACGGTAGCGTTTTGAGGAAAACCGGCACCGACATTCGGTGGGATCTCGCCGGAGATTTGGTTATACGAGACATTCAGGTACCGGAGATTATCGCCGGAGAAATCAGGTGGGAGTGATCCATTGATTAAATTCGAGGAAATGTCAAGAAACTGAACCGATCTCCATCCGCCGCCGGGAAACTCGCCGGAGAAGTAGTTGTTCTTCAGAGAAACCTCTCTTAAGCTTCCAAGAGACGCTAAATTGGTTGGTAATTTTCCGGTAAAGATGTTATCGGAGAGATTTAACGTCTGGAGGTTGTGTAAATCTCCGACTGACACAGGGATCTCGCCGGAGATCAAGTTGTTTGATAAATCAAGAAACCGGAGCTTATCGGCGGCGAAAAACTCAACCGGTAATGACCCATTGAGTGAATTGTTGGAAAGATTAAGACTTTGAAGGTTTTGGAGGAAACCCAGATCGGAAGGAATCGAACCAACGAGGTTAGAGTTAGGTAGAGATAAAGTAACAACTCTTGAATCGTTATTACACAACACACCTCGCCAAGAACAAGGATTGTCGTGGTCGTAGTTCCATGACTGTAATAAAGAGAGAGGATCAAGAAGAACAGAGTATTTGAAACTCATTAAGAGAACTCCATCAGAGTTTAAAGCAGAGGAAACAAGAAACAGAGAAGAGAAGAAGAAGAAGATCGGTGAAGCTAATAGTGTTTTCATGGCTTCCAAGAAAGAAACTGCATCACTACAGAGAGAGAGAGAGAGAGAGTCAAGAGGTAGAAGAAGATAGATTTAAAGAGGAAACAGCTCACGCAACGCAAAACCAAACCTCTCTGTTTCCTGCTCTCTGCAAAATCTGCAGAGTTTTTTAAATACTATAATCAATGCATTTGTTTTTCTTTTTGTTTAAAGTAATCAATGCATCTTTGCACTTTCAGTTTCCAGGGTTCATTAATCATTGAATATCAAAAATTTATTTTTGTATATATTATTTGGACATATACGTACTATAATAATTTGTACCAATATCAACGTCACTCGGATTCACATAGGGAAAAATGTCATTAAAATCTCCGACTTATTCAAAACGTTGATTTAAATCCTCAATTCACGACGAAACGAAATAAATATCAAATTTATGTTGACTTTCCAAATAAATATTAAACTTATGTTGACTTTCCAAATAAACACCAAACTTTCATTGACTTGGCCATATTAGGCATGACGTTAAGTGAGTTAACAGACAATGTTAACGGAATTAATATTCTGTTAACAGACCCGCTAATTAAAAATGACAGTATTGTTGAACTATAATCAAATCTCATCTAAGTCATATAACCTAAAGTCGTATTCATATAAGTTAGTTATTTACGTAAGAGTCACGAATGTACGTACGTATAGTTGTGTCTGTTCGTAAAGTTGTGTCTTTTCGATTAACACATGTACATACACGTTGTTTCTTGTTGTATAAGTAGATCGAGTCAAACTCAATAACATTATTGTGTGTAATACATTTTATCTTATCAATAAAGATCAAGTTTCTTCATACTCTATTTTTCATTTTAGTTTTGTTCTTCATACTCTGTTAAAACAGAGTTCGTTTGTTGATCAAAACACTAACAAGTATTCCTTCTAAACATAAAACGACGTTGTTTTGTCGTAACTGTTCAATAAAATCCCGAGTTTCAAATCATATACTCTATTTAGGGTTAGGGATTTTGCTCGATTTGGGGATCTAAAATTGACTTTAGGGATTTAATTCAATCGTTACGACAAAACGATGTCGTTTTGTTGTTATATGAAACAATGTCGTTATCAATTAACATATATGTAAACAGAAAATTACCTCCGTTAACAAGATCTATTAACCCACTTAACGTCGTACCTAATATGGCCAGGTCAACGAAAATTTGATATTTATTTAGAAAGTCAACATAAGTTTGATATTTATTTGGAAAGTCAACATAAGTTTGATATTTATTTCGTTTTGTCATGAGTTGAGGATTTATTAACCCGCTTAACGTCGTACCTAATATGGTCAGGTCAACGGAAGTTTGATATTTATTTGGAAAATCAATGAAAGTTTGGTGTTTATTTGGAAAGTCAACATAAGTTTAATATTTATTTGGAAAGTCAACATAAGTTTGATATTTATTTCGTTTCGTTATAAGTTGAAGATTTAAATCAACGTTTTGAATAAGTTGGAGATTTTAACAACATTTTTCCCCATTCATATACGAGCTCAATAAAATATAGTACGTATTTTATGATTTAAGAAAACTAACATTTTTATATTAAAGCTGATTCAATGAAATGTATTAATTTATTATTCATAACATTCCTGGTATTTTTTATGTTTATTATTCAAAATATCAAAAATATTAACTTTAAAAAATGTGTTAAAGTGTATTAAATTTTTTTGTTTGTTAAAGTAGATTTGTACTAAATATTGATAAACTACTATTAACACACAGAATATTTCTATAAACAACAAATTCATTGGTAAGAAAAGAAAATTTCTAGCCCTAAAAGTATAACTAAATTTATTTTGAAAGCTGTAATTGCACAAAAAGAACAACGAAATTATGCTATACAAGAAAATAAGTCGAATCTAATAGGTCGTAGGATTTAATAGCTAAAAGACATAACAAGATCTGCATCTGCATTACAGCTTGTTTAAAATAAATTGTCTTTTTTTTTCCTTTTGACTTTACATAGATCCTTTGAGTTTTATGTTTCTTTTGTTCATACATCAAGTGGATTAAACAAGCAAATCGAATCTAGTTTAGCTTTATTTTAACAAAAAAAAATCTAGTTTAGCTTTATTTTAAGGAAATTTATAATTTTTATTTTCGAATGTCTCTGCTGTTTTTATCATTATTAGCAGCTTTTAGGTAATGGGTTCTTACAAGAATTATCCTTGTGCAAATGGCTTCCATGTGCTGCTTTTATTTGCTTGCTATGATTATTAAGTGTATTATTGTTATATCCTATATCAACCGTCACGGAGATTCTGCTTCCAATTTCTTTATGACAAATCCAGTTTTATCTAAAATTTAATATGACGAATTGGAGGGTCCTTTTTGTTTTTCTTTTTATTTTTGTTTCCCTAATTATGGGATATGATGATATAATAGAGAGAAAAAACATTCTTTGTTTTTGTATAAAATGATCATTTATCATATACAAAGTGTATTAATATATAAGGGGTACCCCAATCAAGATTAGATAAACAAACAAAGAAAAGATTTAAAATTTTTATATGATGTTTTGTAGGGTAGTATATTATTTCAGATGCGTATTTTGATTCGATCTAATTACAATTTTTGATCTATCAAATTGAATTAAATACTTGTAGTACAACGATTACGACGAACCGCTATACGGACAACTCCACGATAAACAATCCTTACAACACATATCCTTTCTATGACACAATTGACAAAAAAAAAAATTTAGTGATTTACCTAGTATATATGAGTAATGAGTAATTTTTTAATCAAAATAGTGAATTTTCTAAATGGCAAGATAAAAAAAAATTTTAGGTAAATGACAATTGATAGAGTTTTTAATAAAATTAACAATAGATGGGCAAAAATGGTTGAAATTTTTAAAAATGAATCTCTAAAACATAATTGCTTGTTATTATCGTACATAGATATAATAAAAATCAATATTCAACATGCTAAATAATTACAGAAAATATAAGATAATAAGTCGCACGTCTGATAAATTAGATTCCACATTGAAAATACCTTGGTATGGAAGAAAAAAATCATACGTTAACACTTAGATGATATGAGTAAAACAACTAACAATTTTTATTTGGTAAATTTATATGTTTGTAATTAAGAAAAACAACATGTTACAAAATAAAAGCATATATCTCCTAATAGTTAAATAAAAAGAGCATATAATCTTCTAGAATGATCAATATTACTTTCATTACGCAAATACTAATATTGAAATATCTCAATACTAGAGAATGTATGCCCCAAAATTTTGGTACTCATCCATATAAACAAAAAGGGGGTGCATATGTTCATCATTTCACTCGATTACTGTTCTTTTTCCTTTATTTGTTTTAGCTTTCTTGTATTCTTATAAGTTATAATTAAGTTTTTTTTTTTTAGATAATTGTTTAGTAAAAGGTCGGTGTGTTAGCTTTACCCACTTCTTAATTAATAACTAATTAAGTTGATAAAAATTCAAAACAGTTGGTGACATACCCTTTAATTACTACAGTGAATCCAATAGTAAAAGCCATGTTAGTTTTATAATGGGGTCCTTTGCATGAGAAGAATAATATATGTTTTCCAACAACTATGGACACATTAGGAAGTTATATGATAATTCCGTATCAGCTTAATCAATTCAGAGGATTTGGGTTTATTGTCTGGTTAGGTGTAAGATACAATTCTCTTTAACTAGGGTTACTTGGGTGCGGGACATTAATTTGTCATGTGTGTTTAATGTATAAACAATGTATAAACTCCAATGCAACAATTATATCGTTAAATTAATAGAGAGTGGTGTAAATTCACAAAAATTGGTTTTAGGATCTCTATATTGTATTTTTTATTTTGTGGCAATTAATTTGGAAGAGTTAAAATTCTTTGAAAATGATAAATTATGAGATAATTGACATATTCAAAAATTATTTTCCCTAAAAATATATATAAGTTTTAGTAATTTACTATTCCAATTTTTCCTTTTCTAACATAAGACCGACGAAGATGGAGCAAAGTATATGAGTCTAAAACGAACAAACAGATGTGAGTGCTTAATAAAGAAATGGTTTAGAAATAACATCAAATTTATGTTTCATCTATTTTGAGTACTGACTGTGTAACTGTGTTTGAAGAAACTAAAAAATACTTTAGGGTTCTAAATAATTTTCATGATAAACTGAGAAAAAATGGTTTCATAAGTTACAAAATTAATAAAATTAAGAGTTTGTTTCTAGATAACTCATGGTATGTACTATGTACTAATTATGTTATATTTAACTTTTCAATAAAGAACAACCAAAAGAAGCCAAGGCGAGTGGAGGTCAAATCAAATGATTCATAATTAAAAGAGCAAAGTGTTGCTTTAGCTCCATCACTGCTTATTTGCCTTCTCTTTGTTTTTATGTCTCCCCATTTTGACTTTTATTCCTAGAGAAAAATCTAGTTTCTTCCTTCAATTCCTAAAACTTTGTGTGTCATTTTGGATTTATATATTTACTTCAATAGAGAATGTAACTTAGTTAGTCTCCTTAATGTGAATTTTCAGTCTGATGAGTTTTCTAAATATTAAATATATTCTTTAAACAAAAAAAAAAAGAAAGTTGGCAAACTCTCTCTATTATTAAATATATATATATATATATATGAAAGTTGGCAAACTCTCTCCATATGAGTGCCACATCATCACACAAGAAAATGACATGTGTCATTCAACATTATTTAAATTAAAAATCAGCAAAATTAATTGAGAAAAAACTCAAAAGTCTCCTATTATGTTAAATCTTCCATTAATCCCTTTCTTAAATGATTTTTTCAAAATAAAAATAAAATTATAAAATTATTTTAATAAATCAATTACTACTTTCATTTTACTTTTATTATTTTTCTAATTTTTTAATTTAATGGTTAATTGTCATCACTCTATAATGACTATATAATTATTTGTGTTGTAGTTTAGTTGTTTGCAAACCCAATATCTTATTAGTTTAGTAATTTTACCTTGAATATTTTCTTATTATTACGTTATGGTTCATATCTTATCATATGACATTATCTCTTTTCATTTTTGTGTCTTATAGTATGTTTGTAACATGACATGCAAATTTTTTCAAGTAATGAGATTTTGAGACGTTAGACATACCACGAAATTCAAGACATCCATTTCTCTTATATAGCTATATGCAATAGCATAAAATCTAAAAGTGTTATTAAATAACTCTTTAATTTTTGCTTTCTTTTTCTTATTTTCATAGAAAACTCTTGAGATCAAATATCTTATATTCATGTTGTGTGTATTCATGATAGCGAACAAATATTAGA